TTCATTGATAAACGTTGAAAACCACGAGCCTTGGACACCTTCAGAAATATGGAGCCCAAATATTATAGACAAAACCAAAAAGACTTTGTTTCCATACGTCGAGGTGATAAAAAATCACAAAATACTTTTCATATCAAGTGAATAGCCTCTGTTATTCATTAGTACATTTGATTCATTGCTTCGCACACTCCCACTAGAGAAAGCATTTGAGAGCACAAATTAATGAAAGAGTAAAATACCAAAAATATGATGACCTTGAGAGTACTCGTTTTCAAAAAGCTATTTGAGCGAATTGAAGGCAGTAATTGCATGTGTCATTTATTAGGGTTTTCGCACACCACCTCACTAGAAAATTATTTAAAAACTCGAAAATTCTAACAAAAATATCGCAAGAAATAGAAATAGTGACTCACTTCCTCATTGCGGTACCAGGTAAGCGATTCGGTTGTGAGAACGAACCAATAGTATCGGCTTCCACCACGAAGTACTTTTTCGTTCAGTAAAGCCAGCCAACCACTACAAATGACCTATAGAAGGAACATACAGAAAACAATTAACCTATACCATGAAATGATATAGAGGGGAAATGAGAGGAAGGAACAAAAATTACTACAAATTAATCTGGAATTATAAGAAGTCAAGAAATTATTTGGGACAAGGAATGCAGATCTCAACATAGTAACCACCAAATCATAAATACGGCAAAAAAATATTCCGAAGCAGTTTCAGCAAAGCACGAATATAATCAAGGAAGCATATAACGTATTAACAGCACGACGTTGACGACCAGGTGACTAGAGAGATGGGATGTGATGGTGAGAGAAGTGTGTTAGACACCACAGGTGACTCAGAAAAATGGGAAAGGACGGAAACTCACCTGATTACCAAGCTTCTGTTTTGCTGACTGGTTCGCGTTCTGAGGATCGGCACTGAAAGGGAAATGGTGTACATGTTTATCACGAGAGACATGGGATGCATAAAAAGCCAGTCTCTAGGAAGTCTGAGAAATCGCACGAACAGGCTTGAAATTTAACCAATCCATTAGCATTCACATTGCACTCAAAATAAGAGCTCTGTATCTATGAGAAAATGACATAAACACGTCGACTCAATAATGTAATGCGTCGGAGCCCCAGATATACAGGATTAAAATAAGGGAATGTGAAAACACATTGAAAATGCCACTCTTACCATTCCACTATTCAACAAGCTTCGAAGTAAGGCGTAGGCAAACTTAGCCTCCTCAAAAATCCTACACTTACAAGGCCTTCTCGTAGGAAAATCGTAACTTCAATTCAAAAGAAACATTACTTTGAACATGGTAATACTCAATTCAACTCCTCACAATACACTCAAAATCATAACCATTCCCATCTTCAACCCAGTTAAATGCCCCTATATGCAATAGAGGGACCGAAAGCAACTAACAAAGCAACCAAATAGTCTGGAAAGTAAGTGGATCTATGCCTGAGACAATCACCACGCCAGCGAATCAAATCACAGCCTACTATGAATGATCCAACTACACATTGTGACGAATACAAAAATCTCACTACTGGATGCCTCAAATCTCATAAATCGCCTTATTACTCGAGAAGATGGATTCGCGAGAGAAGCCAATCGACTTCTGTTGCAGAAAGCCTATTGGTTGATAGCAAAGAAACGTCTGAAATATTGCCCACTTCTCAGTCTTAGTGCATTCAGTTTTAATGAATGGGACACACTTGTTGAATCCAATGAAGTCTTCGTGATTGGTGTTCATGTAGGCGAGTTGGTATTCAGTAAGGGAGCGCAACTGATCCTTTGTTTTCACCTCAGACTCCCGAATCCGTGAATTGATGGCTCGTTCCACTTCGTCAGCAAGCCGAGGATAGCTGCTCATCTGCACGAAAGAGAAATATGAATAAATAAGTAACGTGGGTCAAAAACAGACCAACCTGTTCGAGGCAAGAGTGCACAATGCCTGAGAGCTTGCTGACAACTTGATCTATGCAAGTCAAAGTGGGTGGCAAAAGACGGCCAATACGATCTCGGACGATCACATCAAACGCCTGATCGGGTGTGAAAAGACCACCTCTGAAAGCGTAAGAATATAACGACATTCTAACTAACATGATTTGAATAGTCAATGATTGCAATCAAAGTGAAAAAGTCATAATCTTAATCTCATACTCTACTACAGCATTACCTTGCCCTAGTGGCTTTATAAGTGACTGCATCAACCACGTTTGTCAAGTGTTGCATATCTGCTAATTATTACGCAAGGAAGGCGGTTAAAGAACATTAGAATTATTCGCAATTTTGTACCTACAAATTTGGCAAAGCAATCAACTGCACGTTCGTCAGATTTTTGTGAATTCAATTGCAACAAAAGCGCATAAAAGCCTGAGTCTAAGAGACCCGAAATATCATTTACCGAATACCCTGAACGTTGCGAATAGCATAGGCAATCTCCCGCCTCAGAGCCTTTTCGTCCACTTGAATCTAAAATAGAAAGACAACAAACTCTCCAAAAGTATATGAGTAAATCAATAAAAGTCAATTGGACGAAACAAAAGCAAAAACGAGAGAGAGAGAGAGAGAGAAAGAGAACGAGAGGGACCTAAAATATCAAGTAAGTAAAACCATCGAGAGAAAAAGTTCAAAGTCTACATTCTATAACACTACCATGGCTTTATAGTGCAAAAAAGGGCACCTCATGTGACAGTTGCACAATTCACGTTTGTGCAACAAATCAANACCGATGGTTCGGATTCCTGTTGGGTCAACCTCTTTGGCAATCTTGAGAGCATCAGAGTTGGCCAAGTCTGAATTCGCTGGAGTTACAGCTAATATCAGTGTATTTTCCGGCTCTATAAATTCCAAAATCATGTTTCTAATTTGCTGCTCAATATCATGAGGCTGATCACCAACCGGTACCTTCGTTAGACCCGGCAAGTCAATGAGGGTGAGATTCAAGACTAAATAGAAGCTAAGTCAGTGAGAAAAAAGCAAACCCTGTGGAGAGTACACCCGAAGATTAATGGGAATATTCGAAATACCCTTGTTTTTGCCAGTCACTCGATCAGTTTCAGCCTCAATCTCTTTGCGAACATCGTCAAAATTTGTGAAATGTTTATTCTTTAAGTGAAGGAACTCAGCATATTCTAAAAATAAGCAAAATTCAACAAAACGCGGCACAAACCAGTAGGACCATGAATAAGTTGTAAAATGAGTGGTCTTCTGGTAACGATTCCAGATCCACGGGGAAGAAAGTCTCTTCCAACAAAATTTTCCAGAACAGAGCTTTTACCAGCACTTTGCGATCCTACCACAGCAATTTGTGGAAGGTCCAGATTGAGAGGAACACTGAGTGACGCGAATGCATCCTGCAACTTGTTCACAAGGGGGATAAGCATCTGCATTCCCTGATTTCCACTCATCTTAACTGAAATTGAGACAAATTCAGAGCGGTGAATTACAATGACCCTAAACTTTGTGGCAAGATTTAAAGTCAATTTTATTTATGCTGAGAATGTTCTCGCTTTTGGGCTTATAAATACGTGGTTTTGACCGATTAAAATAAAATTTTAGACCTAACATTCACAGTGTGAAAACAGACCATCACCTGAATAAATGGAAATCCGCCTATTGCCTCAGAGTATCAAACCGGTTTCCAACGCGCAGTTAGCTATAACAATAGCACTTTCATATTTAAAATGTTATTTGATGATACTTTTATTTAAATTTCATTTCATGCAAATGATTAATAATTTTTAACTTAATGAAATTGCTTGTGCTAATTACTTATCAATTTTAAATCTTATTTAATCGGAAACCAAGTAATCGCCAGAAGCTTTCAGAATTTCTTTGATGATTGTAACCATATATACCGTCTTCGGAATTTAAACCGTAATGATTTTGTCTGTTTTCACGAGACATGTGCTGAGCACATTGCCGAAGAACGACTTTGTCGACTCTTTCAAGTTTGAGAACAATACCTTTTAGCTTAGAATGCTATTTATTCGAGTGCCTTCATTTTAATATGTGGTATTTTGGTTGCCACAAAAGCTCTATCAACAGAACGTAATATAATAGAACGCGAGTAGCCTCGTAAGAACATTAGACTCTAATATAGTACAGTAGTACAAGCGGGGAATTTGAATATGGCTTTCTTAAATTTGATTGAATTACTTCTTGTGTATTTTGGCTCTAGAACCTTTACTTTTAAAGTGGAGCTTTTTTAATTTGAAAGTATTCTTTACTACTTCACCCTATTTCGTTGATTGTCTTGAAATAAGTCACAAGGACAAGATTTCTGGGGAGTTAGGTAGGGGGGATTTGTACTGTTTTAGAAGTGTAAATGTTTCCACAGTTCAGTCTAGTAGATGAAGAAGGGCTTAAATTTAAATGAAGAGTTAGTCAGTAATTAGAAACTATCGGAATGGGCTCATAACGATGGTCAGAGCACGATGACAGACCAAATATCTTATTTACAAATCCCTGGCCGATGACCACGAAGGATATGACAACAGTGGTGTTTGAGATCGTATGAAAGGCTCTAGCAGGTGGTAAAAACAGTCTTAGAAATAACCGTGAATTTCTGCCTCCATTCTCCAAGTTGACGTTGCAACAACTCGTTTTTTTAAATTTGTAAAAATTGATTTAACGAAGTCAGCTATATTCGAAATAAAACAGGCGCACTCTAAGGGGACAACAAGTGGTGATATATTTAACTAATGCTACAATAAAAGGTATCAAACACAATGCATAATGAATTTCATGAATAATATGGCAGAACGTGAGGTTTTCACACGTATAGAGTGCGTCAAAAACTTAAAGGTATAATAATTTTAGAGCCATTAGGATGGACTCTAATTTTGCATTAGCTATTCTTAACGAGTGCTTATATCCACTTTAAATACTAGGCATGCTTCTATAGGATTCCAACTTGAGCACATTTTGGGCTTTAAATGTGTGGCAAGCAGACGTTCAATGATGAGACACTTAATCCTTATATACACTTGCTGGCATTGGAACCACGTACAGGCTTTGACCGTTGATTGGTCATATTGGCTTTGGTTAATAATTAGTCGAGAGGCCTCCTCTTGCGTAATACAAAACTTGCGTTCCCCGTACCTTTTTTCTCTCCTTTCCACTTTCCACATAAATGAGTTAATTTTTAGGTTTTCTCCTGAGTTGTGGCTATTGTAAGACTGCAATAACAAAATTTCAATCTAGGTAAAGTATGTTCTGGTGAGCGAAAACACAAATGTCTGACTAATCGATTATTACATTGAATTATAGAAGAGGTAGTTAGGCCGCATAGGCCGTCGTAACACATTCCATTCTATATTTTCTGCCCAGACTAGGGTTTACTGAGACTTACTCTTTGGTGGGTCATAGAGATAGGGTCTGAGCAGAGCGTATTGACAGTGGGCCAACGCGCGACTTCGGGGGTTTGAAGCACAGGCTGATACTCTAGTGAGGCGTAGATGTCGAAGACGGAGCTCGGATTAATGAATTGTCCGTTGGCAGTTCAATTTACATGATTCCTTCAAGGACTTTAAAAATTGAAAATTACGAAATGCTTAGCTACGAGGCTTTACTCTATGCCACTTTTTGTTTTACAAATAATTCGATTTTACTTGGCATTTTCACGGTTACATTAATGCATCGATTCTATTTTTCAATGCTTTTCCCCGATTGCTACATTTCCACCAATATAATATCCAGTAAAATATTTTTCTTTAATATTTGCTAAAACTATTTACGGAATTTTTAAATTAATATTAGATTTTAGAAAATGTAAAGAATTTTTACGTCCTAATTAGATTTGTGGGACACATTATCGCTGTGTGCGTCATCGTATGCCTGTATGTCTGCTCGCCAGGATTGGGAGGTGCGGCCGTACAACTCTGTGTGCAGCGACCGTACAGTGACCATCATTAACCTCTGTTTAACCTAATCCCCCGTCCTGATCATGAGTAGCTCCCGGCGTGTACACACTTGATCCGCAATACTCGTA